TAGGACACCCTATTTGAGAAATTTTATAAAAAAGTGAACAAAATGAGTTTTAATGTCTAACTTTTTATAGAAAATAAGTCTATGTGAAACTGACATTATTAGCTAGAGTTGAAAGAAAGCTTCGTGTAAACATCGAAATCACCTCAATCAGATGTCAGATGAAGATTTAGGATGCGTTGAAAATTCAAGCCTTGTGCTATCAAATGACAGCACTGATGTTGTCAAGATTTATGCAATGTGCCACAATGCACAGTGTCTCACGCCACGACGCATGGCACAAAGAAGACACTCTGCGATGCACATGTTGTAAGCTGCGGTGCACGTGACACTTTCTATACAAAATCTGTTTTTAAGTTTTAAAACTCATAATTTTGAGTTCCAATTGATTTTCAAGCTTTCGCTTTACTTTTAAAAATTTAATTTGGACTTATTAAATCATGTTTGATATTTGAGTTGAGATTGGGATTCCTTTAAAAGAATTTGAAAAATTTCTTTCATAAAACTTTACCATTTGATAATCCTTTGAGAGTTAAACTCCGGGATTCCCATGATTTAGAGTAAATTACGGTTTAAACTCAGGAAGGTTACATATTTATGTATCTATCCCTTGACCGTTACTTTGATTTCACAACAATAAAATAAACTATAATAGACTAAGTATACAAATAAACTTAGAGTAAGCAAACTTGGATTAAGCCATAAGAAGCAATCTAAAGATATAAATAAATAGAAAATGAGAAACAATAAAAAAATCATAGCAATTTGTAATGCACCAAATGTTAGCAAATACCACAACAATATATTGGTGTTAATTTTGAATCTTTATAGACCTATAAATAATCTAGTAAAATCAGTCAAAGAGCATAAATATTAAGGTATGCACACACAACTTCATATTTTATATAGAAGGCAAGGTGGACATAAACTTGTATAGACTTTTGAAATTTAATATCAATAAAATTTTAAAATATAGAAAGATATCAGAGGTAATACAATTGAATCACTGAGGCAGCCACCACGTAAAACAAGAAGGTTCATATCAAATGAAGAATGTGTAGCCATTTGTAAGATTTTGTTACACTCAAGTCGTCAAGATAAATTGAACAGTATTATAACAAGAGAGATAAGTTCAGCATACTCAATTTCAATAGGAGTAACTTAACGCATTTGGTATCAAGTACATGGGATACAACTCATAAAAGGACAAACAAGTATGGAAAAAGGGACCTAATATGAACGTGCAACAAGTCATGGCAATCTGTGCACAATAAGAACTACTTATTGGTGTCTTTCAAATGTGCTAAGGGTTAACAAGACATCACTAATCAAACTTAAAAAAAAAGAGTTGTGAGGCACCATACTAGTGCAATCAAACTATATTTGAAGGAGTAAAACATGCTTGCTAAATTGAGGTGGTGCTTGTCCATACTAGAACAAGAAAGTATACCAAATGATCCAACTTTTCAATCTATGCACAATATAATCCATATTGATGAAAAATGGTTTTATATGACAAGAAAATTCTAGACCTACTATTTGGCAATGGGGGAGGAGCCACCGCATCAAACATGTAAAAACAAGAATTATGCTGGTAAGGTTATGTTTCTAGTTGCTATGGCTAGTCCTAAATTTGATTCATAAGGAAATGAAATTTTTTCTAGTGAGATTGGCTTATTTCCATTTGTTACAAAAGAGGCAGCAAGGAGAAAGAGTATGAACAAGAGTAGAGGTACAATGAAAACAAAACCAATCACTTTGATTACAAAAGAAGTAACAAAATCTTTTTTAATTGACAAAGTATTATTAGAAATCAAAGCCAAATGGCCAGTAAGTCATGTAAGTAAAACCATTTTTGTTTAACAAGATAATGCTCTTTGTCACATTGATGACAGTGATGTGATTTTCATATGATAGTAAGTGATGGTGGGTTTGATATTCACTTGATTTCTCAACTCATAAATTCTCCTAATTTAAACATTTTAGAGCATAGTTATTTTAAAGCAATTCAAGCACTACAACACTAAGAAGCACCTAATACTATGGGTGACCTTGTCAAGGTTATGGAGAAGCCATGTAAAGTTTATACATCTAAGCAATTGAACAGAATTTTCCTAACACTACATGCTATTATGATTGATGTTATAAAGGACAAAGGCTCAAACAAGTATAAGCAAAGCCATCTAAAGAAGGATGTGATGGAAAGAAGAGATGAATTGCTTAATTGACTTAAGCGTGATCCCTCCATAATGGAAGAAGTGTTGGAACACTTAGAAGAAGTGGATGGATGACAAAATAAATGGATGATTTAGATTAAGGGATGGATGTTTTTGTGAAACCTTCTATGTTTTTGTCATTAATATTTTGTGTTATAATTTTTTATTTAAATTACAACACATAATATTAATAGTCAATATTTTGTAATGGATGCTATTAACAATCAAGCATTTCAACAAGTAATGGGTTGTAATAGATTATAAGACAAATTATATATATTCCATTTGTCTACTCCACAGCAAGAAGAAATGCCCAATTCACAACACCATTTTATAGTCACTAGTGGTTCTTACTCTTACATAAGCCATCTCACAAGTTTGACTGATTAACCAAAGACATGACCAAGTTCCTTAAGGATGCATTAAAAAAGAGGGAAAATGACTTGTATTTTGTTCTCATTATTGCATATTGCCCTCCGCTTTTCTTACCCAAGTGAATTAAGATTACTTAATCAGAATTGGATCTATATCTAATTTGTGTTGAATAATCACTAAGCACACACATAAGCTAGTTAGCTCCTACATAATCAAATAGCCAAGGTTAAATAAATAAATGCCCTTCTTGCAAAGATTTCAATAAAGGGCAATACTAATATTAGTATTATATATCATATTTTGTGCATTAATATCTTGTCTATCATTCTATCTATATATCTTAGCATGCGGTTTAAACTTCATCTACACAATTTCATCTCAACTATGGACACGCAAGCAATTATGAACATGGACAGAATAGAGATGCATATAGATCAAAAGTGCTTAAAATATCAATACATTTATCTATCAAACTGGCCAAAATAAAAGATGAGCAACATACAACATTCAATTAAGTTTAACATCCAGAATTTATCAGAATAAACTTGAATTCCATAATAACCAAAATACACAAAAGGCGTAGAATTTTTAGGCTAATCAAAGCATATAATGCAAAATGTCACACACAAATTACTTATGGTCTTTCTCTTCCTCGATCAGATATGCATAGTTTTTCTTTAGAAATGGAAACTTGTTCAAGTCAAATGGGTGGGCAATCTTTTTCTCTTTACTTGCTTTCCCGAACCCTGCATCCTTGTTGCCGGTTGACTTCTTCACCTTCCTTAGTAGCATCTTCATTCAAATCAAAGCCATAAACTTTCTTTTGCCACACCACTTTGACCAAGTTTGAAGACCTAAGAGAAGAGTCGTTCAGACGAGATGCCCTCAAAATCTTCTAATTCAAAAAGGTTACCTCGCCAGAGAAGTTGAATGGGAGTAAATCTTCTTCGCCATCAAGAGAATCATTGATTATACACCCCAATAGCTCATCCCATGACAAATGCTCAAAATCCTTTTCCATTGAGCTTAAACGGTGAAAATCCATCGACCAATCAAACCACAACTTCAACAGCAACACTCAAGCGGACAACAATGGAAAAGGAATGAGGGAAGAGGACAGATGATGAACAATAAGGCAAGACTCAAGAAAAACAGTGACAGAGGTGATTGACGAACAGACCAAAGACGATGAGAGATGGAGCCCGACTTGAAGAGAGAGAGAGGGGGGGGAAGCCAAAAGTGAAATGAGGAAGTGAGTCAAAAATGTTAAACGAGTAAGGGTACTGTTGGAAGTTCAATGCACAGTCAACATGAGCCTGTGACTTATAATTTAGACCATGTGTTGCTTTTAGAACATGACTAATAAAGCATACTAGAGGGAGTATAAGAAACACTAGATAACTCTTTAAAAAAAGAACTCATTTGGAACTTGGAATTATTATTTAGATAAAATATCCCAGAATATTTGTACAGATTGTTGGACGTAATTGGTCCATCTATCTACATATACATCCATCCTTGTCATTATTAAGAATCAGGCATCTGTCCATTCAAAAACCCAAACCTTTGAGGAATGGTACAAGTGACATTCTCTCCAACTCTCTTAGCATTTTTTGTAATTATTATCGGGAAATGATAAATTTATTATATTTTAATCTTAATTAAAGATTATATAATATTGATATGTGAATTAATTTTTTACATAAAAACTTCTTTATGATTCAAATATTTTAATTTTAGTTACAAAAAAATTATGTATAGTTTATAGGTGTATACAATTTAAAAAAAATATTACATTTGATCCCTATAGTATTTTTTTTAAGAAAATATATTTTGATTTGAAGCTGTTTTTCTTTATGGAACAACTGAAATAAATTTTCATGTTTTTAATATATTTTTATTTTATTATTATATTATCATGCATCAGACCTATCTTGTGAACACCTCACACTATCTTCATGACTTGGAATTATAAAAGCAAATTTTAGTAGAAGCTCAAAAGAGAGAAATAAAACTTGCATGGATATGGCCCGGAAAAAAATTTTCCCCTAGAAATGATCAAGTTGCTGCGTAGTGGGTTGATGAAACTCGAGCTCGGAACAAAATCAGCACACAACTCTCATGGCCTAAATGATTTGGCTACGAATTGACTTCACAGCCCACGAACTCAACAACGTAATGATAACAGCTTAGCTTTCAATTCAAGGGTTACATAATACGCTTTTTGTTCTCTTTATATAGCACAATCTGAGTTCAGGACCATTTCTATGTCTCCATTCTCGTCTCCTTTTGTTTTATCTTTTGCTTTTTTCAGCCCAAGTCATTCTTTGAAAGCTCCGGGCTTGCGACCAAATCAGAACATAATAATGGAAGCAGCTTCTGTTTTGGGAGATTCATCAAGCGTTTGAGCCATTTATCCGTCCCAATTACACTTTCATCCATAGCCTACAAATAATTTAGGGTTTGATTGTAACTAAGGAAACAAGCATTCACTGCACTAGGCATATTTCATTTCGCTGCGTTCCATTTACAACACATGAAAACTGGTCAATTTTTACACTTGGATGCTTTAATTTCCTCCTGTTTTGTCTTCATTCTCGTCTCCTCTGTTGCATGTCTGCAAATTGCCATCAAAGTGAAAACAAAGATAGGTCCATCTATTTATCACCACCTCCTCTGCCAGTAATTGCTGTCTCTTCCCCTACCAGATTCTGCAGATTTTTCGAGCTTGCCCATCACTGCATTCTTGAAGTTAATGGCTTCCTGAACTTGCGAGCAAGACCTCTGCATCCGAACCCCACTCAAACTACTCCTACACTCCATCAACTCGTTCAGCAAAACCCTCCTCTTCGGTTCTGGCCTCTGCTTTGGAGCACTGTGAGACCTCAATTTCGCCCTAAAAGACTGAGTATTCGCCATGTAATTCGGGAAATTCCCGTACTGCCGGCAAAATCCATCGCCGGCGCAAACGCGCCTGCAAGCCGTCGCCTGACAGCTGAAAGACCCGCAAGAACTGGTGAATCGAGGAGTGCTCTGTGCCGTGGACGACCTGCATTCTTCCGCTGTCAACCCCCAATCGAAGTCCTGCAGATTCCGGCGACAGTCCAGTATGGATAGGCGAGCAGGGGTACGACAACAAGGGACTGGAAGAGGAGAGGAAAGTGCTTGGAATTGTGAATCGTCACCAAAATCTGAAATTGAAGAAGTGTTGGTCCTCCGAGACCTCGATCTAGGCCTGCCAGTGTCTACTTCCAATATTTTGGGGCTTCCATCGAAGCTGTTAGAGTTATTTATTGTTGCATCAAAAGAAGACATCCTTCTGCTGTGAATGGGAGCAGTATGCTCACTCCTAGTGTCGTCAAATCTCTCCTGCATAAGATTTTTCACGCCGCCATTTCACACCAAATTCACACAGATTAACAACAAACAATAATCTTAGGTTTCCAGAATCTGACGTAGTTACCATAGATCTTCGCGCTCGAGCTTCAAATCTACAGGCTTCATTGTCTTTGCTCATAAGCCTACGAGCTTTCTGAGACCTGACAGTGGCTTGGGCTCTGATAAGAGCTTGCATACTATGAAAGGTTGCTGTGGCTTGCTTCCTTACTAAATAGCCTTTCACAAGTGCTTGTAATTTCACCAATCCTTTCAAAGCTCTCAGTGCCTTTCTTGCCTGTTTACAGAAGTGAAAAATGCGTCGTCAAATTCCTGATCTGAAAAACTGGTTCCGTTTGAGAAAAGACAAAACACGCATACTTACCAAGTATCCCCTGAATACTGTTTGAATCTTAACGGCAGCCCATCTCTCGTGTCCACCACCGCCAAACATGGTGCCTCTTCCATGGCTGGTCAGCCTAACCACGGCCACCGCAGCCTGAGCGGCTGCCACGGCGGCATCAGCGGCGGCAGCGGTGGCCGCAGCCACCGCAATGGCATGCTTGTTCTGCTGCTTCTCTGTTTCGGTGTAGATCGACTGAAGCCAAGCAGCTTCTGCAGGCGAGATGTTTGGCGGTATAGTGGTTGGATTGTGACATAAATCTGTGAGTTCTCCCTCTGAAACATGGTTTCTGTCTTTCTTTATCCCAAACAAGCTCTTCAACCACCGGGCGGCTCTTCCCATTTGCTCAGCAACAGATAAGAGAGTACAGGGTCCTGAAAAAATAGTGGAACCTACAAAAACCCAATCACGGCTTTTAGACAAAGCGAAAGGGTCTCTCTCTCAGCTTGCAGTTCACAATTTAGGCGTCTTTCCATTTCCCGGAACGTGGTGAAATCGGCTAGTTAAAAATTTAAACCTCAAAGGAGAATTTTTCTATTTTGCTTTTTTTCTTTTTGGTTTTGTCTTCGTACGAAACCAGGAAAACATGGGAAGAAAAAGAAAGGGTCTGCTTACGCTTCATGAAAAAATCTGCATTACATGACAAAAGACAAGCCCATTGGATCATGCAGGCAGGTTAAGCCAGCTAGTTAAGTGAAGGATAATCACTTGGTGGCTTATAAAACTACGGAAATTAATTTATCATGGCATAATTATGAGAGAGAGAGTTACCTTGGCGAGATGAGATTAGATTCTCCAGGGAAAAGGAATTAAAAAGTTGGGATGAAAAAGGGCAGGAAAGTGAAACCCTCCAAAAAACATGAAGCCGTCCAATGGGAAGCTCAGAAAATGGCTGTGCCTTCAAAGATGAAAAGGAAAGGAGCCCATCAGAGCAGAGTATAGTAGTATAGTGAAATCTCTATCTCCATCTGTCTCCCATTGCTCTCTGGAGCGACGTGTCCTCAAAAAGAAAGATACCTCAGTGTCTAAGCATGTCAGACACTCTCGTGATTAATTCCCCTTTTATTTAGCTGCTTCTTCCCCAAGTGCCTCTTCAAAACCCGCAAAAACAGCCCACATCCACCGTTAATTCTCACGGCGCTTCGATCTCTTGCCGCTAAACCGAATACTCTTTCTGTGGTGTTGTTCCACCACAACCACAAATCGACTTCCTCTGCTCTCCTCTGCAAAACCGTTGCTCTATTAATTCACAGCGATTGAGTGAAACTGTTGATCATTCTTGACGCAAGCATTTCTCTCTTCAGCTCCCAAGTCCCGAAACCAAACAAACTGGAAGTGCGTAGGTTAATTGACTCTGAAGAAGAAAGAGCTATGTGTGCCTTCTCTGCAAGCTGCTCTGCTTCGACATTAAAGCAAGCGAGAATGAAAATGAAAGGATATTTATTTTACGGGAGAATAAATAATGTCGTTCTCTCTCGCCGAGGCAAAGCCTGTCAATGGCTAGGAGGTCTAGGAGTTGTGTAGGGAACCTGCTTTGGGGGTTTTTGAAAAGGTCGTTTCGAAGCGTACGAGCATCTAATGGGGGCTTGAGATCGCTTTCATGCATCAGACTTAACTGTTTTCCTCAATTATTTGGCTCCTAATTTAAACTGGCTTGGCTTGTTTTTACTGTTCTGTTTTCTGCAGCTCTGGAAATTATAGGGGTCCTCATTCTACCAGGCTTGCAGCGTCATTCGTGTTGGGTAAATGATTAAATAGTACCAGAATAATGCTTGGCTTCGTTACTTTTGAAAATGAACAAATTAAAACCGAGGGGGACCATGGACTGAACTCGCTAGCTCAGCTTGGTTTGCATCTCAAAATCGTTCTTATGGCTGAGGTAGATTAGATCCAAGTTAAGTTGTTTTTTGGGCTAGGACTCATGATATTTTTCAAAACATCATGCAAGTATGAACTTGATATGGAAAAAATTAAAAACATATTTTTTTATGAAAATCTAAAAATTAAACCTTTTAAAAAGCCTATTTTATTTTTAGACATCTAAGCATGATATAAGATATTGGTAATTATTTTATAATTATAAAAAAATAAAGTGAAACCTTAATTTCTCAACAATAATGCATTTTTAAAATTATATCCTAATTATATATTATATATAAGTGCTTTAATCATAATAATTAAACTTTCAATGCTTCATTTTTTTCAAAAATAAAGTAGGCATGAAGTAAAAGTATAATTGAAAAAAATTATAAAAATTACATAATATTTTATATTTTGGACTAAGTATTATTTTTAGAATATGTATTATATTGAGATATGGAGGGACTGAGGGAGTGTATACCCTGATGTGGGACAAGATAACAAATTATACAGGATCGGACTCTTTGGTTTTGTATGTATTGACATTTGACAAATTTTCAATCGCTATTACGTAGATTTTTTTTTTTTAGCCTTTTTGTGCATTGCTGTCATATGGATTTCATAGCACAAGAAACCCCCTATCTTGCTATATGTAAAAGTATTTTCTAGTAATTCACATAATTCGGGTGGAAAAACAGCGGATGAAAAATATCTTGAACATTAACTCTATAGCAACAACATAGATTTTTTTTTTTACATGTAATTAAAAAATACTAGATACTAGATAGATGAATGTACTGGATAAGTGGTGTGAGCAAGTAATAACAAATGATTGTTTTCGGTTGGACAACACTAACAGGTGATTTATTCAGATGGTATATATGTTGATGAGATGAACTTTAAAAATAGTGAGTCTATTTTTGATTTTGTGCATATCGATTGTTTTTTTTCAAAATGTAAATATTTGCAATCAATGATAGTGGGTTTCAAAGCTCAAGATCCGCCCTTCTCATTAGATGTAAAGGATTCCGAAGCTCATCTAAGTAATGTTAGAGATTTAATATGATCAGTGACAGATTTAGGATTATTCTATGACAGATTATGAGGGCCAAATTTTCTTCTTCTACTTAAGGGCGACAAGATTTAACTACAAAATTTTTTTAACCAACTTTTAAAGAATGGCTTCAAAAACTTAGAAAAGGTAGATATTTGTATAGGGCGGAACCAGCGTGAGATTTTAAAGGAGGCCAAAGTTGGGTTACACAATCCTCATACACATGCACCTAGACTTCATACGTCATGTTGATAAAGCAATTCTAACTTATTTTATCAAAATTATAAAAAATCTTAAAAACCATCAATAACTCTTCCTAAATACTAATAATTTTTTAACTTTGCTCTTATTTAACATAGAAAAAACATACATTTTGATCCCTATATTTTACTCGTATTTTGTTATAGATTTCTATTCTTTTTTTTGGTATTTTGGTTCCCTATAGTTTCATTTCTCAATGTTCTAGATTCCTAAATGAATAAAATATAAGAATTTTGAATGAATATAAAACACAAAAAATAAAAATGTAGGGACCAAAAATACTGAAAAAGTACAAGGACTTATAGCACAATACAAGGAAAGTGTGGGGGCCAAAATGTATATTTTCCTTTAATATATACAAACTTTTTTAACATATTTTTCCTTACCAACATTTACCCCTCATTTGAATTGAAGAAAGTAGCTAGGAAGAAAAGAAAATTAGGAGAGAAAACTTTAAAAATGGTAAAAAAAATTACAATTTTAAAAAATTTATCCTTTTAGTTTTCTTTTATCTCTATTTTCTTTCCACATTTCCCTTCATCTCAATAGTAAAAGAAAAAATCCCAACAAAAAAATTAATGGCATGCTTATAAATAAGATTAAAAAAAATCATGTATAAACAAAACCATACAGGATAGAGCTTAAATCGTGATGGCTTCTTTCATCTCAACTTGTTCTCTCTCTCTCTCTCTCTCTCTCTCTCTCTCTCTCTCTCTCTCTCTCTCTCTCTCTCTCTCTCTCTCTCTCTCACAACATAATGTGTTGCACTAGCATTTATATTCTTCTTCCTCTCTCTCAATATGCTTGAGTATAGATTTGGTTGAAACAACCTCTTTTTAAAATTGATTTCATCTTCTTAACGTACAGCAAAACCTATCAAACTCACAACGGTTTTACTATTGATAAACCTTGCCCAAAAATACCTAAAAAAGAACTCTTTCGACTAAACCTAAAAACTTTTATAAATGGAGCCATGATTGAGAGAAACGTTATAAATATGCGATAAAAAAGTTGGGGGCCAAGAGCTCCTCCACGCATAACCTAGTTCCGCCCCTGTATTTGTGGGTACGATCCCTTAAATCCGTTGCTGAAAATGATGATGAATGGGTCATATTGTTCATTTTGATATATTTCAATTTTATATGCACACAATAATTGATTTACATCAGTGTTGATATGTTTATATTAATATTAACCATGTTTGCCACTTATGGCATATTCTTATTTTAAATTAAAAGTTAGAAATAAGAAACACAGGCAATGTATGAAAAAAGGAAAAGGGCTAACCAAATAAATACCAACGAATTATATTTGAGTTTTAGGGCTGTTTGCTAGGCAAAAATAAACAGAATTAAATGAATTAAGAAATAAAAATAAAAATAAATTAAATTATCCAATTTCTCATAATAAATATGAAAAATATCAATATTACATGCCTCAAATATGAAAATTATCACACTTGTCCCAAACATAAAAAATATGAGTCACGATTTTATGAACTAAATTATACATTCTCTCCCATAATTATAATTGACTTATTTTTTTCACATTTTAATCATTTTATTTTTTTTAATTTATTGCATTTCACTCTTCTCCAGCAAGCAAAAAGGCCCCTTAATATAGTTGGGTCAGGGGAAAATTTTGGTGCATTGAGAGAGATTTATATTTTTTAATTAGAGGAACGTGTATTATTAGCATGAGGTTATAAACAAAATCATACTCATGATCTTCCAATTGTTTGGGAAAAAATTTTCATCCCATTACAAGTTACTCCCTCCATGTCTATATATAAGGTATTTTTTAAAAATTTATTTTATTTTATCTTTAAATATAAGAGACGGTAATGATATTTTTAAATAATTAGACATTTTTATCCTTATCTTGAAAAATAAAATAGATCATTAATTGTATTTTTTTCTACCACCATCATGATATTAATTATGAAATTGTTAGGGACAAAATTAAAAAATTATTGTATTTTTATGTGAATTTAACTAAATAATACTCTCTCTATTAAAAAATATAAGATATTTTTAACCAAATTTTACCTCCAATAAAATAATTATCTACTTTCAAACTAACCCTATTTTTTTATATTTATTTCTATTAAATATTATATAATAAATATAAAGTCACTATCAATCAGGACACTTTTTAAAAAAAACATAATGATTTATACTTCAAAAGATATTTAATTTTTTAAATTTTTTTATATTTTTAAAAGAAAGGAGTAAACCTTAATTAATTTATGAAATTTAATTAAAAATATTTTATATATAAAAACGGCGGGAGTAATTCACAGAGGAAAGAATTTGAAAGGAATGAAAAGTGGGTCATTAAGCATATGAGGTCATGAAATTGAAAGGAAATCTCCGGCACTGGGCTTAAGTACACTGTCACTTGCACAGACTCACGGGCCTAGTCACCAGTCACTACCTCTCCCCTTTTCTCCCTCCAATATATTTTCCTCTCCACTTACCATTTCCCTTTTTCCTCCGCCCCATCATTTCAGGGGGAACAATGATATCTAAACCTCAAAATATTAATTTAATAATAATTAAATTCCTAAAAAAATAAATTATAAATATTGAGAGTTACATTTAAAATTTAAATATTTTATTTGTAATTGAAATTATTAAATGTGTATTTGTTTAAGTTAATATTTACAATTTATTTTTTAAAATTAAAAAATTGTATTAGAATTTTAGTAGGAAAAATTGGTAAAAATGATGTTGTTAAAAGAGAAATTGTGCTTAAAGATTAAGTTGAATTTAAAAATTAAATTAAATATTTATTTATTAAACAATCTAAGCAAATGAATGAAATGTCCTTTTATTTAAACCCAAAAAAGTTGGCACATTCAACATATTCATTCTAAACTAAAAACCTTACACCCATGATAACAAAAATTACAACTTACTTCTTTAGCTTCTGACATGGGGTGTAAGGTTTTTGGCACTTTTGGCTTTGATGCAGGGTTTTGGCTTGGAGTGCACATGTTGAACAGACAATCTTTCTTTTTTTTTACTTCCTTAATTTAAATAGAGGGGCATTTTGGTCATTTGTTTAAATTGTTTAATGAATAAAATATTTAATTTGATTATTGAATTTAACTTGATCTTTAAATATAATTTCTCTTTCAACTAGGTTCTTTTCACCGATCTTTCCTTTTCACCGATCTTTTCATTTAACTATCATTAAATTGATGCTTTGAGTTTTGACACTTTTTTTTTAAAAAATATAAGGATATGAAAACCATACAAAAAGAATAATTATAGAGTTATGTAATTAATTGGCTGGTAGTCAAAAATCTTGATATCAAATTGATCC